AACAGACCTAAGGCACTTGGACTGCTAACCGGAAGGCTGGCGGTTCAAACCCATCAGCCACTCCTCGGAAGGAAGAAGGGGCAATCTACTTCCACAGTGATACTGCCTTGGAAACCCAAGGAGGGGTGGCTATGAGTCGCGTCCGACTCAACAGCACTTAACAACAACAATGTGGATAAAGTGAAAGGCAATGTACAATAAAGGGGTGATCAGCACAATATCACTAAGGGAAAGGAAGACACGGAGAGGTGCACAAGAGTTATAGACAACAAAGGTAAACTATATTATATTCTGCATTATCAGAAATAACAACATCCATCTACCAGTGATAACACAGGCAGACACATGAGATGAAAAGGTATGGGGGTAGGGGAATGGAACAACACCCACAATCATATATGAGTTGGCAGATGATATTTCTACATACACATTTGTATGTGCTGTAAATATATTCATGTATAAAGCAGAGCAAACAGGGCAGTTATGAAAATTTTTTGGCCATACTGAAACACCCCAACAAATTAAGTCGCTGGGCCTAGGGCATCAGGACAGTCACAGGGAACATCAAAGTGGCAGAACACAGTCCACAAAGACAATGTTCTACATCTACTTTGGTGAGTAGCAGCTGCGAGCAGCCATCTAAGGTGCAACTACTGGTCTCTTCCCATTTGGAGCAAAGAGGAGTGAAGAAAATTGTGGTAGTTAAGATTGTGTGTCACCTTGGCTGGGCCTGGTTGAGTGGCTGGGCAGCTGGTGGTAGTTATTCCCCAAGATAAGATTGGCAATCAACTCCACGGTGGGATTTACCACAAGCAGCTGTGTAGATGCTGCAGAGATGTGGTCTGCTTCCCATATAAAAGTAGCAACTTTGGGAATGGTCTCCAGCTTACAGCACTCTTGAACCCTGCACACACCCGAGTCATTTTCAGCAGCCTAGCATGTTCTGACAATCTTGAGACTTTTATTGGACTTGAATCAATGGCCGGCTGTGTGGCTTTTTAGTATTAGGACTGTGCCTTACTTGTCAACCTTGGGTTTGTCAGCCTCAACATCCAGTAGCTGTCTGAGTGAAGAAAAGCCTCTTCAGCTTCAGTGGGCCAGGATCAGGAGGCAGAGCTGAAGCCCAAGGTTGAGGGGCTTTCACCCAGCCCCTGGAGCCTGGCACTTTGAACTCGGACTTAAACCCTCCAAAGTGTACTTAAGAATAAACTCCTGTTTGTTAAAGCCATTCAACTTGTGGTATTTGTTAGAAAGGCACTAGGTAACCAAAACAAAAATCAAAGATGCATGGTAACAATTAGTCCAAATGACTAATGGACCACATGAGCTTGAGCCTCCACGACCCTGAGACCAGAAGAACTAGATGGTGTCCAGGTCTGAAATGGATCACACAGTAGAAGGTTCTGAAAAAAGTGGGAGAAAAATGTGAAAAAAAACTAAGAAGTATAAAAAAGACCAAGTCTTGGTCTGATAGAGAGTGGCTAATTAAGGGCTGCAGCCCTTCATCACCCTTCAAGCCTGGAATTGAACTCACTCTGATGGCAAAACTTTCAGCCAAACAAGACAGGTTGTAAGGTGAACAGTACCAGTGAGGTATGCACTCCTTACAACAATCAATCTTTCAAGATCAAAAGGACAGCATTTGCCCAGGGATAGAGTTCAGAAGCTAGGAAGGGAAAAGAAAAGAATGAATGGAAACAGGAAACACAGGGAGGATGTCGGAAAAGTGCTGCTATGCTGCAGGAATTGCAATAAAATGCACAAAACAAAATGTGTATTAACCGTTGAGTGGAAAACTAATCTGCTCTGTAAAATTTCATTCAAATCACAAAAAATGTTAAAAAGAAAACAAGGGAACCAGCTCTCTTGACTTGAATAGTCTGAAACAATGGTGCCCAGCTCAAAGATGGTAGGTGTCCATGCCACGTTGAATGTGTGTCACTCTCCATAGTCCTGGCAATGACCCAATCTCCCACATCAGGCTCCTGCAACAGCTCACAACGCCTCTTCCAAGTGTCCCATTCCAGGGCTTTGACTTTCACATTCTGGTTATCGTTCTGGCATACCTACATTTCACAAATTTGGGTCTGTTCTGATATTGTTGTACTGGTCATGACTGAATCAGCTCAAACTGGTCTGAAGCTGTAATTTTTTTCTATTACATTTTTCTGTACTTTAAAAATTTTCCACAAGTGTTTCTAGGATATTAAATAATGTAATATGCTATTAATAGAATACTTCACATTGTTGCTTTTGTTAGGTGCCATCAAGTCAGCTCTGACTCACAGCAACCCTATGTACAACAGAACAAAACACTGCCGGTTCCTGTGCCAGCCTCATAAACCTTGCTATGCCTGAGCTCATCGTTGCTGACACTGTGTCAATCCTTCCCCTTTAATATATATGAATTATACTACTGATCACTATAATAGAGGATGGTAACGACTAAGATTTTACAAAGCTACTGAGGCAAAAGTAAAAAGACAAATTTTAAAGAAATTAGCAAAAAAAGGGAAGAAAGCTACCGACCTTGTACAGGTCTCCATGCCACATTCTGTGCAAAGCACTTCAAATGCTTAGTATATTTAACTCAAACTATTTTCATTTTAGTGATTTTTTTTTAAAAAAAACCTTGACCAAGGCCACAAGGCTCAAAATGGTAGATCTGGGAAGTCTGACTCCAAAACTTAAGCACTGCTACATCATACTACCATTACCAATAAGAAGAATGAAAGAAAAGAAATTAGATTTATGCCCATCGGCCAAGCAGGATTTCCCGCAAGAATATTCATTAAAAACAAAACAACAGCCATAAGAAAACAAACTTAAAAATACATACCTCTACTTCATCTCCTTCACTGATTTCTTTTTTTATATCAGGTGGTGGCGGTAATCTAACTTCATTAAATGGAACCTGACGCTCTGGTTGCCAGCTGAGGAATTGGAAAAGGAATAAACAATTAAAATACATTATTCTAAGAGCTTCTGATAGGAAATCTATTAGTCTGCACTTAAACCAAAAAAAAAAAAACCAAAAACTACCAAACTCAATGCCAATGAGTCAATTCCAACTCACAGCACGCCACCCACCCACCCTCACCTTCGGGTTTCCGAGGCAGTAAATCTTTCCGGATTTACCAGTCTTCCTTCCGCAGAGTGGCTGGTGGGTTTGAACCACCAACCTTCTGGTTAACAGTGATGCCTTAGGCATGCCCTATGCCACCAGAGCTGCTTAGTGCTGAATTATTATGTAAGTTAATTTATCATTTACCATAGTGGCTAAGGCACTTGACTGCCAACCAGAAGGCTGGCGGCTCAAACCCACAAGCCACTCCTCGGAAGGAAGACGGGGCAATCTACTTCTGTAGTGATACTGCCTCGGAAACCCAAGGAGGGGTCACTATGAGTCAGGTCCAACTTGATGGCACATAACAACAACAACAACGAAGAACAACTTTCAATCATATATTTTTGCAAGTAATTAGTTGTCGAGACAGAACAAATTTTGTATGACTCCTGATGAAGTTTATAAATTAGTATTTCTATTGATATGTATGTATTACCTTCCTGATTACTCATCCGAAGCAGAAAACAGTACACACATTATTCTACAAATGAACTAGGCTAAATTCATGTAATAAAACTTACTTAGATTTGAAATAATATCACTATCTACACAGCTGCCAAATAAATAGCAGTGGGATCAACGTATTTCACTTTTACAACTATATGAGACCTGTCCAAAAGGAACATTTTCATAGATTACAAAATTACATAATTCCTTTTCAGTAAATATGCTCACAAAAACACAGAACAAAATTAATCACCAGTTATATCAAACAGCTGACCTACAAAAAGTTTCATTTTCTCACAATGAATTTCTTCTCTACATGTACACATACATTATAATTAAATCCTAGATAAAGCTTACTTTTAAATCTTTGTGTGAATGTTACTAATTTAGCTGATGCTTAAGTGACATCTTCATATTGTATATTATAAGCTAAGTTAATAAAGTTAAAATTTATTTTGTATTCTAAGCTCTCATCAGTCATTTATATACCTGGAAGGTATACCAGCACAAAAACATTACCAAAGCTTACGTGCCAACAGCGTGCGCAAAGGACCAACTGACAAGCAAAACACTGAAGGCTTTCTTTTCACCGTTACTTTCTAAACAGCAGCTGCCTGAAAATCTCAGCATTTGTTTCTACATGAAGCAGCTGTTGGGCAGAGATGTTTTCAGGCAGTTCTTGAAGTAGCTTAGAAAGTGGAAGCAGAAAAATTCTTTTCTGATCTTCAATTGAACAGTGCTCTTTCATAACCCTTCCAAAATATGATCTTTCCCTTACTTAGAGTATCATTTTAAGACTACCTAGCCCTGATAGTATCTATACAACAGACAGCATTTCCTACAAATATTAAGCAATTCAAGAAAGCCTAACACTCATCCTGACTAGTTGTTGTAGTTGGGTGCTGTCAAGTCAGTTCCAACTCTCAGCAACACTATGCACAACAGAACAAAACAGTGCCCGGTACATGTCACCCTCACAATCATTGCTACGTTTGAGAGCACTGCTGCAGCTACAGTGTTGATCGACCCTGATAAGCATCTTCCTCTTTTTCACTGACCACCTACTTCACTAAGTATGATGTTATTCTAACTACCAGTAAACATTTGGAGGGGGAGGACCTTCTACAATATCATTTCAACATAATGGATTTAAAAAATTTAAGGATATTATAATTTCATCTGTGCCATCTATTTTTGCATAAAGTACTGATTCATGTCTGTATTTTTCAGCAAAACGTGTTGAAGAAGGAACGAGGACAGAAAAAGTAAAGCTAAATGAGACATCTGAATTCATTAAGATGATCAAACCACCAATAGCCACCTACCTAAAGCAAAATGATTTTCCCACTTTTTGTTCTTGTTGTTATGTGCTGTTGAGTCGGACCCAACTCATAGTGACCCCTCCTCGGCAGTATCACTACGGAAGTAGATTGCCCCATCTTCCTTCCGAGGAGTGGCTGGTGGGTTTGAACCGCCAGCCTTCTGGTTAGCAGTCAAGTGCTTTAGGCACTACGATACCAGAGCTCCTTGATTTTCCCACTAGTTGTAAGAAATCTCAAAGCAAGCAGATCTTTAAAATTAACATCTCCATCAATAAACATAACTTACTTATTTTCAAAAACAACTGTGAGGGAATCTTCATGAACATCTTTGATAAATCCCTGCAAAAAAACAAAAAAATATTATTAAAAGTTTATCAATATTCAATTAAACATTAAAAGGCTATATTAGAAAAACAAAGGCAATGTGGAGTACTAAAAACAAAAAGAAAAAGAACAAAGGATTTAGAATTAGGCAGACCTAGGTTTAATTGCCATCTCTACCATTTATGATCTTGGCAAGTTACTTAATCTCTCTGAACTTCAGTTTTCACAAAATATCACCTATCTCAGAAGGAAAAAAAAAAGAAGTACATCCATGGAACACCATAGGTATTAGTGGATAGTCAAACTGAGTAAGGCACTATTTAGTGTGTAAGCAAAAGCTAAGGCTCTAGAGTGAGGCTGCCGAGAGATTCACATCCCAGAATCGTTTATATAATCTTGAGTATAGTTTCAACCTAATGGAGTTAACAGTATCACATTCTCATGGAATTATGAGAATTAAATAATTCATGTCTAGCAAAGTATCTGGCACAGAGTAAGGCACTCACTTATATTATAAATTAGTATTAGGTTGTTGTTGTTGTTGTTGTTATATGCCATCGAGTCGGACCCAACTCATAGTGACCCCTCCTTGGGTTTCCGAGGCAGTATCACTACGGAAGTAGATTGCCCCATCTTCCTTCCGAGGAGTGGCTTGTGGGTTTGAACCGCCAGCCTTCTGGTCAGCAGTCAAGTGCCTTAGGCACTACGCTACCAGAGCTTCCAGTATTAGGTTACAGATACTAAATGACAGGCCATCTTTAGTAAACTGCATATTGAATACTAAACTTTGCCATTAACTAATCCTACTTTTCCTATCAACCTGACTTGGATGTAGACTAACTAGATTAAAAATTTGCTCTACCACTCTGAAACAATGGGCAACCAGTACAAGCACTTAAGGAGCTCTGGTGGTGTAATGCCCAAGGCATTTGACTGCTAACAAGAAGACTGGCTCAAACCCACCAGCCACTCTGCAGAAGGAAGACTGGTCAATCTACTTCCATAAAGACTTACCACCTTGGAAACCCAAAGGGAGTCCCTATGAGCTGGACTCCACTCAATAGCAGTGAGTTTCGGGTTTTTTTTTTTTTTTTTTTAATATAAGCACTTATATGATTACAATTAACATTAAATGACACTTTATATTACTGCCAGTCAGAAATGAAAACTGAACCTCAGTTGATTGCTCTCACATACCTTGAAACCACTGCTACTTTAGTAAATACTTTTAAAACACCTCATTACACTAGAGGAGCTCTGGTAGCATAGTGCCTAAGGCACTTGACTGCTAACCAGAAGGCTGGCAGTTCAAACCCACTAGCCACTCCTCCGAAGGAAGATGGGGCAATCTACTTCCGTAGTGATACTGCCTCAGAAACCCAAGGAGGGGTAGCTACGAATCAGGTCCAACTCAAAGGCACCTAACAACAACAACATTACAAGAGACTCCATAATATCCACTAAAAAATAAAGACACACAGTTATGAACTAAATCGTGTCCTCAAAAAAATGTGTGTTGTAAATCCTAACCCCAGTACTGTGGATAGGAGCTCTGGTGATGCAGTGGTTAAAGCACTCAACTGCCAATCAAAAGGTGGGCAGTTTGAACCCACCAACAAAGATATGACGGTCTGCTTCCATAAAGATTATAGCTTTGAAAACTCTATAGAGGGCAGTCTATAGAGTTGCTATGAGTCACAGAACAGACTCAATGGCAATTGGTTTTTGGTATACTGTGGATGTAATAAAGAGCTCTGGTGGTGCAGTGGTTAAAGCACTTGGCTGCCAACTGAAATGTGGGCAGTTGGAACCCACCAACCGCTCCCTGGGATAAAGAAGCAGCAGCCTGCTTGCATCAAGAAACCTTATGGGGCAGTTCTTCTCTGTCTTTAAGGGTAACTATGAGCCAGAATCCATTCAGTGGCACTGGGTTTGGTTTGATGGATGTAATCTGGGAATAGTTATATTACATTACTGAGGCCTAATCAGTGTAAAAGGAGCTCTGGTAGCATAGTGCCTATGGCATTTGATTGCTAACCAGAATGATGGCGGTTCAAATCCACCAGCCACTCCTCGGAAGGAAGGCTGGGCAATCTCCTTCCATAGTGATACCGCCTCGCAAACCCAAGGAGGGGTTGCTATGAGTCGGGGCCAACTCCACGGCAAATAACAACAATCAGTGCAGGATGTGTCTAAAACCAATTACTTTTGTATATAAAAGCAATTTTGTATATAAAAGATCAGGCATGGAAGCAAACAAGCAGGTATGAGAGAAAAGACAGCTGCCACATAGAGAACTCCGAGGAATGTCAAGAAGCTGAGACAAGGTTTTCCCTAGGGCCAGCACCCAGAATTCAGACTTCTAGCCTCCTAGATTGTGAGAAAATAAACTTCTGTTTGCTAAAGCCACCTACTTGTGCTATTTGTTACAGCAGCACTGGATAACTAAGACACACACACATGCACAGAGAGTACTTGGTTAAAATATGGCAGATATAAGCATTTCTGTTTACATCATCTCCCCAAAAACCAACTGCTATAGAGTTAATTCTGACTCATAGGCAGACCCTACAGGATGAAGTAGAGATGCTCCAAAGGCTGTAAATCTTTATAAAAGCAGACTGTCTCATCTTTCTCCCAAAGAGCAGCTGGTGGGTTCCAACCATTGACCTTTTGGTTAGTAGCCTATGATGCAATGAACTATTTAGTATGACTGTTCTAGCCATGATCTTATGACTTCCACCAGGTAACTGGGTGGAACTATGGAAATGCAAGATGCCTGCAGAGCACCAAGGGGACTGGATAGCTTACTAATAATGTGGAGGTAAGACTGTGCAAATAAGGTGTATGGAAGACTAATGTTGGGATTGGTCAGCTAGCCTTAAAATAAATCCTCCCAGAGGCAGAAAGGAAGGTATCTCACTACCATCAGAGAAAAGCCAGGAGCGGATCGTGCCCTTGGACCCAAGATCCCTACACTGGACACCTCCTTGGCAGAGAGATGGCAGAGACAGCGGCAGCAGCAGAACCAAAAGACCAGCATGAGACAGAACAGCAGGCTTGCTGGCAGAGTGGGATGCACCTACTACTAGCAGAGCTAAAAGAATTTTATAACACTTGCCAGAGCAGGGCGAAGGCCAGGCTGGGAGATCAAGAGCCAATGAGAGACATGCCTATGGGCATGGCAGAGAGGAGGGTTTCTTGATGACAGACTTGTATCCAAAGTGTTCCTGAACCTAAATTGTACCCTGTTACTTCCCTAATAAATCCCATAATGGTGAGTTCTGTGTGGCCACAACAATGAATTACACCACCTAGCAGGAAGCAGAGTGTGTTGTGGGAAAGACAGCTGGTGTCAGAATTGGTAGAAGTTGGAAGTGGTGGCAAGTTTGACCCCACAGGAATCAGCCTGGGGCAGCTGATGGTGATTCTCTCTATTCCTTGAGAAGTTAGAGGAGGTCAGAAGACACCACCTCCACACTCCTTTTGCACAGCTGAATGCCTTAACCTCCCCATCACCAGGGCCCCACTATCCCCCCAAAATCCCATTCAAAAACCACAAAAGGAAGTTTAAAGCATAAACACACAAGTAAAACAAAATATATACTTACAAAGCAAATGGAAGAGAGGAGTAACAGTAACTAAAAAACAAAGCCAACAGCTTATTATCTTTCAGACACTATTCTAAGCAAATTAGCTAATCTAAGATTGAAACAAACTGACTATGGGAAAACCCCAAAACAAGCAGATCAGCACTTTAAAAAAATCACAAACCCACTGCTATTGAGTTGATTCCTACTAATAACGAGTCCCGAGTCCTGCGTGTTACAGAGTAGAACTACTTCATAGTGTTTTCTTGGCTGCAATCTTTACGAAAGTGATCACCAGGCCTTTGTTCTGTGACATCACTAAGTTCCAAACATCAATCTTTAGGTTAACAGTCCAGAGCAAACAGTTTGTGCTACCCAAAACCCTAGATAAGCAGAATAACCCCGGAAAACTTTTTGGAACTAAAGATACAAAAAAATGAAGGGGGGAGAGTAACAGATGAGGCTGAAAATGAAATCTGTCATTTTATTTTCTTTAAAAATGTAGTGTTACCAACTGCAGGTGGCACAAACTGTTTAGCAAAACAGTTAAGCACCTGGCTGCTAACCAAAAGATTGACTGTTCAAACCCAAACAAACCAGCAGCTCCACATGAAAGAAAGACATGGAGATCTGCTCCCATCAAGGTAACAGACTAGAAAATCCTGTGGGACAGTTCCAGGAGTTGGAATTGACTAAATGGCAACGGGTTCCAACTGCAAAATGTAGGTAATTCCACTAAGTACAAAGTCTTTGCTCAGCACTTGCCACCCCCCACATTTGCTACTCAACTGCATTATTTTGTAATTTGCCCGATCCCACCAGTCTCAACTGTCTCTTTATCTGTGTCATGTGTGGGTGCTATGAGACATCTGCATGCAAACACTTCATGCGAGGCTTAAATCTCAGGATACCTTCCTAATTTTACTATAGCAGCTCCAAGTCTTGGAATTCTGGAGCCATTTTTTATTCTTTTCTCTCCTTCCACATCTAAAATGAATAGCTGTCATCCCAGCTTAGGCTCTAATTATCTTACTATAAGGTCATGACCTTTTGGCCAGTTTCTCTATTTCTAATAGTGCATCCCACATGTTCACTTTTATAGTTAATGATACCAGTAAATCTATATGACACTACTGACATTCATTCTTAAGAAAAATTTCTAACTTCGTGAATATTAGTGAAACATTTTACAAAAGATGGTAGTAATATTTTCAAGTTTTATTAACACTGTCTGTTGTTAGGTGCCGTCAAGTCAGCTCCGACTCACAGCAACACTAGGTACGAAAGACTGCCCAGTCCTGAACCAGCTCACAATCCTTGCTATACCTGAGCCCACTGTTGTAGCCACTGTATCAATCCAACTTGTTGAGGGCCTTCCTCTTTTTCGCTGACCCTCTACCAAACATAATATCCTTCTGCAGAGAA